TGGGCTGAAATCAAGGGCTGACATGGTCAGATGAGCACTGTCTTCTAGGTCGTAAACTTCTTGTTTTATCCTCGTATGCAGAAAGGTGCAGGGGATATCTCTGGAGCCTCTTTCATAAGGGTAGAAATCTCATTAATGTGGACTCTGCTTTCATAACCTAATCACCTCCCCAAGCCCCTACCTTCTAATAACATCACCTTAAGGAGCTGGTTTCAAAATATGAATTTTGGAGGGACACAAATATAGAGACTATAGCAGCTGGGAATTACCTACTGAGTTGACAAATAATACTAAGTTTAATACTGGGATGTGAGTCAATCCTAGAAGAGCCTCTAATAATGGGGAAAGAAGGTATGCTAGACCCTGAGGCCACTACAAGGTCAGAGAATTTACACAGCTCTGAGATTGAGACACAATTGCCAAGGCCAACTTCTTCCTTGACCTGTATCACAATTCTTGAATTTATGTAGAATGGAGTTAAACTGGATTCTTGGCTGTCAAGATGTTGAGATGTACTCAGGATCTCTGGGTACATATGGTAAAGAGATTAGAGTATCGGGGGGGACGGGGAAGAGTATGGATTTCTTAAATCTCTGTTGTATCAGCTGGTGAAACTTTGGTGTTCTAATCAGGGGACTTCTTGGAGTTACAAATTTTGCATCCCAAATGGTGCCAAAGATATCCTAGTTACATCTTCACAGAGCACTATAGAAAAAAACGGAATGACAATTAATGAAGAAATTATTTCTGCATTTCATATTACTGCCTATAAATTTAATAGGAATTAAAAGAATGAAACAGATGCTCCACATCACTAATCATCAGAGAAACACAAATTAAAACCACAATGAGATATCACCTCCCACTGGTTAGAATGGCCAACATAGAAAAGAAACAACAAATGCTGGCGAGGATGAGGAGAAAGGGGAACCCTCCAACACTGCTGGTGGGACTGTAAACTATTTCAACCATTGTGGAAAGCAGTATGAAGGTTCCTCAAAAAACTAAAAATAGAAGCACCATTTGACCCAGGAACTCCATTCCTAGGAATTTACCCTAAGAATGCAGCAGCCTAGTTTGAAAAAGACATATGCACCCCATGTTTACCACAACACTATTTAAAATAGCCAAGAAATGGCAGCAACCTAAGTGTCCATCAGTAGATGAATGGATAAAGAAGATGTGATACAGATACACAATGGAATATTATTCAGCCATAAGAAGAAAACAAATCCTATCATTTGCAACAACATGGATGGAGCTAGATGATATTATGCTCAGTGAAATAAGCCAGGTGGAGAAAGACAAGTACTAAATGATTTCACTCTTCTGTGGAGCATAAGAACAAAGTACAAACTGAAGGAACAGAACAGGAGCAGACTCACAGAACCCAAGAATGGACTAACAGTTACCAAAGGGAAAGGGACTGGGGAGGATGGGTGGGAAGGGAGGGATAAGGGGAAAAAGGGGCATTACTATTAGCACACATAACGTAGGCATAGGGAAGGCAGTATAGCACAGAGAAGACAAGTAGTGACTCTATAGTATCTTACTATGCTGATGGACAGTGACTGTAATGGGGTATGTGGTGCAGACTTGATAATGGGGGAATGTAGTAACCACAGTGTTGCTCATATGATTGTATATTAATGATAACAAAAAAAAAGAGAATGAAACAATCAGTATGTAATACAGTAGCCAAGAGGAAGGTAGACTTGACATGAACATTGAAATACTTAGTATGTTGGATAATTGAACTTTTGTTTTGGAATCTATTTCCTCTATTTGTTTTTTTATTTGTTGATCTTTGGCCATTTAGAATCCCAAAATCCACCTGGTTTTGGAAGAATACCATAGTGCATGTCTTGTCCCCACTTCCCATTAAGGAAGCCAAAGGGACTTACTTCTACTTCGGCATATAACCTTGCCTTAGCTAATCAAACTATTCCAACCAAAAATTTGAATCTTGAAGAAGTGAGGCAAATAATGCAGGCAGAATTGAGAAATTATTCATGATGCTATCAACAATATTGAGAGTTCAGTGCAGCTGAATATATCAGCACCCTAATCTGAACTGTTGTGAGGCTCTGCTCCCAACCACACAGCCCTTCTAGGTTCCTATGCATTGACATTGCTTAAGGTACTAGCTTTCACCTTCATGTGCTAGATCTCTTCTAGTCTATAACCTTTCACATAAAGTCTATTCGTGTTTTAGTTTGACAGATTCAACTTCTACTGCTTGCAAAAAAAAGAAATCTGATAAATGCAAGTGGAGAGGATATGGGCGAGAACTGAGACGACATCTCAGGTGAGTGGATGGATGAACAAAGGTACAAAGTGACATGGTATGTGTAGGGGACTCAAATAAAACTTCTAGGACTGGATGGGGGAAAAGACATGAAATTCAGGAAAAAGTAAGGAACAGTTCTAATAAGGACAATACATTTTATAAACACTATTATGCACTGAGTCTGATGGGTAGAATAAATGATGCAAAATGGGGATCGATTATTCTAACTTATTTATATTGGCAGGTATAAAGTAATCAAAACAGCCTTTAAGAAGTAGACATGCATTTATATATTATAAAATAAAATACTCTCCCTTTCATTCAACATCAGAGTATCTATTAATAACCCCATGAAATATTAGAGTAGAAAAAAATAATTATTTCAAAAAATGTGAGAAAAAATTTGATAAAATTATTAATCAATTATCATTTGATAAAATTGTTATCAGCCATTCATGAAAAAAAAATCTAGGAACTAGAAATAGGACACTAAATAATCCAGATAAAGTATCTACTAAAACCGCATAGCAAACATTATGCTTCATGATAAAATTTTTGAAATATTGGAGTAAAGTCATGATGAGATAAGGATGCCATCACTACTTCCATTAAACATTGTACAGTAGGTCCTGGCAATATATAAGAAATGAAAAATTAATAAATAGTTTAAGAAGTGAAAAAAATTATCTTTATTTACAAATGGTATGATTATTTATATAAAATATCCAAAATAGTATCAAAGAAACAAAGCAAACATACAAACAAAAAATACAGCAAATGTTTGTGGATAGAACAAAATACAAAAATTAATGCCCTTTTTATATAACATTAATAGCCAATTAGAAAATGTCAATTAAAGAAAGATATCTTCAGAGTTACCAACAAAATCTAGGAGCCTGTGTCAAGGATGTTCAAAAATCAAATTTACAAAGCATCACAGAACATAAAAGACCTGAATAAATGGATAATTCTACCATGCTCATGGATAAAAAGACTATTTTCCGTAAACTAATCTGTAAAAATCAAATCCATTCCAATCAAAATTTACATAGGATTTTTTATGGATCCTGTCTGACTCATTCTTAAGTTTATACAAAAGAGTAGAGTCAACAATTGCTAAGGTAATTTTAAAGAAGAATCATTAAGGGTATTGCAAAATGTTAGAATATATAAGGGTTGAGTGCATGGATGACCATTATGTTATTATCTGTACTTTTCAGTGTCTGAAATATTTCTTAATTAAAGTTTAAAACTTTTAAAATAAAATAAAAGAGAATAGTTGCTGGTCACAAAAGAAAGACTCTTTTGTAAACAAAGAAGCAAAAAGTACAAAATCCTAATGTAAAAAATTATTAAATTCAACTAGCAATACTTTAAAATATACAGTTTCTGGTCATCAAAAGACACCATAAAAAGTTAAAAGACAATCCACAAACTGAGAGAAGTTATTTGTAACACATATAACTGACAAGAGAGAAGTATTTAAACTTTAAGAATATATAAAGTTTACCTACAAATTTTCAAAAGCAAGCAACCCCATTAAAAAGAAGATGAGCCAAAATTGAGAACAGGCATTTCACAGAAGCCCAAATAACATATACAAAGATGCACAGCCCATTAGCAAGGGAGAAATGCACATTAAAAGATAAATCAGATACTATCGCCAGGCAAAATCTTTAAAATCTAACAATAGCAGGCATATGGATCATGATGCACAAGCTTGTCCATGAAATGGATTTGTGTATAGATCAATCTCAAAACCTGAACAGGTAATGAAAAAAGAAATTACGTTAAAATGCAGTATGATTCATTATATAAAATGCAACAGCGGGATCACTACATTTTTTGGGAATCATACATATGTAATTATTTTCAAAAAGCAAGGTAAAAGGTATACAGCATCATGGTTATTTCTGCCCAATAGGGAAGATACACTTTTGGAGAGTATCTTAGTAAAAGGTTCAAATATATTGGTATTTTTCTGTATCTTCGGCTCTGTAATGGGTACCTGAGTGGTCTTTATTGTGATTCTTTAAAATGTGCACATACGGGATAATTTCACAATATTTGATTTAAAAATGCTGTAAGGTTTTCAGGAGAGCCTGTGAGTCAGGATTTACTTGTTACTATGTAACCAAACAAAATAGAGCGTTCCCTTAGCTTCTCAGGCTGATGTAAGATGGAAACCTGCAGCTGTAACCCTGTTTCAAAACTTCTTGTTCTTCAACCTGCCTCACTGTTCACAATTATTTCTGTAACTGTTTCAGTACAAAGGTGATTTTATACACTTGCAAATTTAAAATATCATCTTTATCTGTCTGCCAACTTGGGTTTCCAAGATAAGTTACGGTTTTTAAAAGAGAAAAAGGGATTCCTTAATTTAAAAAGTTTGAAAACAAGAGGTACTCGAGTTAAAGGAGGAAGTTTTGAAACCTCACATTAAAAAAAGCTGTCCTTTGTTAAGTGAGGGCTTCCCGGAGGAAGCTGAGAAGACCGTTTTCTAAGGGGCGGATGGGTCACCCCCCAGCTGGAGAAAGAAGACGGGAATACAGCCCACCCTACTCTCCCCCCCCAACTTTTCTCCGTAGTACCCGATGCTCACTGTGTGCTCGCCCCTCCGGACCTTTACCCAGTGGGCGGGCCGGTTACGGGAGCGAGGGCCCCGCCCACCCAGCCAGCCAGGCCCGCCCCAGGCCCCGCCCCCGGGGGACGCAGTGCGCGCGCGCTTTGAGGGAGGCCAGGCCGGTCGGGCTTGCAGCGGGCGGGCCTCTGGCTCCCCCTTTCTCTCTCTCTCTCTCTCTCTCTCTCTCCTCTCCCCTCTGGTCTCATCGGCTTCGGCTGCTCGGCCTCTGCTGGCGGCCGGACCGCCACCCGCGGTGAGTAGCTGCAGGGTTCAGAGCCCCGCAGACCGCCTGCGGTGGGCACGGCCCTCGGCCCCGGCGCCTGCGCACCCGCCCGCCAGCCAACTCTCTCTCCCTCCCCTCTGGTCTCATCGGCTTCGGCTGCTCGGCCTCTGCTGGCGGCCGGACCGCCACCCGCGGTGAGTAGCTGCAGGGTTCAGAGCCCCGCAGACCGCCTGCGGTGGGCACGGCCCTCGGCCCCGGCGCCTGCGCACCCGCCCGCCAGCCAATCGGCTCTCCGCCCTCCCGCCGTTGGCCTTTAACCTTTAACCCTGCGCCCCCCCCGGCCGGCGGCGCGAGGCGAGGAGCTGGGAGCCGGGGGTCTCGGGCCATTTCGCTGTCACTCTTACCACTGATTGTGCCTGTGTTAGGTGTTTTGCCTGCTGCCCTGCTTTACCCGACCCTGCCGCCCTCACTCCGCCACTTCTTTGGAGCGGAACCCCCTGCCGCCCCGGTTTTCCCTTCTCTCCGTGGCTAGTTGGGAGTCCCGGGAGCGACGGAAGCCTTTCAGACGCCTTGTCTTTTTGTCCCCAGTTGCAGCATATATACCTGAGCCTATGGGGACAGTGGAAGGCTCGACGCCTCCTGGGCTCGAGATGCTCTAGGAAGGTCTCGTCGCCTGTCAAGGGAGGGGAGGCCACTGCACAGGTGTTTTTTCCGTGCACCTGCTGACACGTGTGGTACTCTCACCATAGACTGGTGTCTTCTGCTGTTTTAGGATGCAGCTATGCTGGACTAGTATCTTTTTCATTTTCCAAAGGAGCAATTGAAATTCAGGCAGGAAAGATAGTTTGTTTTCGTTTTACTATTTCAAGACCCTACGGATAAGTGTTAAGGGAAAAATGTGGAAATGCTTAAAAGCAAATAGAAGGGAAGATAATATTAATTATAGGAACTTTTTAGAAAAAATAGGACTGGAATGGGTTGTTGAAGTACTTACACAGTAGTTTAAAAGAAAAATATAAAACATCTAGGTATTGATAATATTGTTACATTGTTGAAAATAACTTTAATGACAGTGTTACTTTATTCCTATTGAACTGTATGTAAAACCCAGAAAAGAGGTAGAGTGCAGTGAATCTTACGGATTTGCCGGCTGTAGCACATGAAACCACTAGAACTGTTGCTTTTAGTCACGTGATGAATAGTAAATGTGTGATCTGAAAATAGGCCTCCTTCAGATTAAATTTGAGCTACACCTTATGAATAGGTAACAGATGATCATTATTTTCTACATCCGTAATCTTTAAATGAAGGCATAACCACATGTCAGCAGTTTCATAAACTGTCAAAAAAGTTATAGTGTTATATTTTCTAAACTTGGTTTGTCTGGTATATTGTGGGAAGGTGGAATACCATGAGGGTAAGAACTGGAGTTCGGAAGCCAGACTTGCTCTGCATCTTGCTGGTTGCTTGACCATGTTTCTTAGCTATTTGCTAGCCCACAGCCTTGGAAGAAATGGCCAGTTGCTCTGTACCTCAGTTTCATCATCTGTAGACTGTTGTTAAGAAGTTCTACGTCATAGGTTGTTGTGAAGATTAAAATAGAACAATGAGGTCATGCTAAACTGAATTTCTCTCTACCAGAGGGTCTAAGTGTTTACATTGAAACCGACCTGGCCAAGGAGGACTTAGTACAGAAACTGATTTTGAAAGTTCCAGATGTGTCTTCTAATATTAGTTCTGTTTTATCTACAGTGGCTTCTTAGAAAATAAAGTCAGAAGAAAACAGTACCAAAAAAATAAAAAACAAAACACCACAAGTCTGTATAATAACAATATTTAAAATTCATAATTTTAATTATTGTTAATTAAATGAATAATTAAAAGGTGAAATCATTTTTTTTTGTCTGATTAACAGGGTAATAGCAAATACTTTTAGAAATAATAATTGATGTCACACTGCTTCTGGATCTCTTAGACCTCATTAGACCTCCAAGTCAAAAACTAGCTTTTTTTTTTTTTTTGACATCATTAATGTACAATTGCTTGAACAACATTATGGTTACTAGACTCCCCTCATTATCAAGTACCCCCACATACCCCATTACAGTCACTGTCCATCAGCATAGTAAGATGCTATAGAATCATTACTTGTCTTCTCTGTATATGCTGCCTTTCCCGTGTCCCCCCCTACATTATGTGTGCTAATCGTAATGCCCCTTTTCCCCCCTTATCCCTCCTTCCCACCCATACTCCCCAGTCCCTTTCACCTTGGCAACTGCTAGTCCATTCTTGGGTTCTGTGAGTCTACTGCTGTTTTGTTCCTTCAGTTTTTTTCTTTGTTCTTATACTCCACAAAGTGAAATCATTTGATACTTGTCTTTCTCTGCCTGGCTTATTTCCCTGAGCATAATACCCTCTAGCTCCATCCATGTTGGTGCAAATGGTAGGATTTGTTTTCTTCTTATGGCTGAATAATATTCCATTGTGTATATGTACCACCTCTTCTTCATCCATTCATCTACTGATGGACACTTAGGTTGCTTCCATTTCTCGGCTATTGTAAATAGTGCTGTGATAAACATAGGAGTGCATATGTCTATTTCAAACTGGGCTGCTGCATTCTTAGGGTAAATTCCTAGGAGTGGAATTCCTGGGTCAAATGTTATTTCTATTTTTAGTTTTTTGAGGAACCTCCATACTGCTTTCCACAATGGTTGAACTAGTTTACATTCCCACCAGCAGTGTAGGAGGGTTCCCCTTTCTCCACATCCTTGCCAACATTTGTTGTTTGTCTTTTGGATATTGGTCATCCTAACTGGTGTGCTGATATCTCATTGTGGTTTTAATTTGCATTTCTCTGATGATTAGCGATGTGGAGCATCTTTTCATGTGCCTATTGGCCATCTGAATTTCTTCTTTGGAGAAGTGTCTGTTCAGCTCCTCTGCTCATTATTTAATTGGCTTATTTGCTTTTTGTTTGTTGAGGTGCATGAGCTCTTTATATAATTTGGATGTCAACCCCTTATCAGATATGTCATTTAGGAATATATTCTCCCATACTGTAGGATGTCTTTTTGTTCTACTGATGGTATCCTTTGCTGTACAGAAGCTTTTTAGTTTGATATAGTACCACTTTTTCATTTTTGCTTTTGTTTCCCTTGCCCGGGGAGATATGTTCATAAGGAAGTAGCTCATGTTTATGTCCAAGAGATTTTTGCCTATATTTTTTTCTAAAAGTTTTATGGTTTCATGACTTACATTCAGGTCTTTGATCCATTTTGAGTTTACTTTTGTGTATGGGGTTAGACAGTAATCCAGTTTCATTCTCTTACATGTAGCTGTTCAGTTTTGTCAACACCAGCTGTTGAAGAGGCTGTCATTTCCCCATTGTATATCCATGGCTCCTTTATCATGTATTAATTGACCATATATGCTTGAGTTTATATCTGGACTCTCTATTCTGTTCCACTGGTCTATGGGTCTGTTCTTGTGCCAGTACCAAATTGTCTTTATTACTGTTGCTTTGTAGTAGAGCTTGAAGTCAGGGAGCGTTAAGTCCACCTTCTTTATTCTTCCTTCTGAGGATTGCTTTGGCTATTCAGGGTATTTTGTTATTCCATATGAATTTTAGAACTCTTTGCTCTAGTTCATTGAAGAATGCTGTTGGTATTTTGATAGGGATTGCATTGAATCTGTAGATTGTTTTAGGCAAGATGGCCATTTTGACAATACTAATCTGTTTAGCCTTAGGAACACTTCCATCTATAGGAGTCCCTCCAAAATGTACTGTAGAGGTGGTTTGTGGGAGGTAAATTCTCTCAACTTTTTCTTGTCTGAAAATTGTTTAATCCCTCCCTCAAATTTAAGTGATAATATTGCCAGGTATAGTATTCTTGGTTCAAGGCCCTTCTGCTTCATTGCATTAAATATATCTTGCCACTCCCTTCTGGCCTATAAGGTTTCTGTTGAGAAGTCTCTGATGATAGCCTGATGGGTTTTCCTTTATATATGATCTTTTTTCTCTCTCTAGCTGCTTTTAAAAGTCTGTCTTTGTCCTTGATCTTTGTCATTTTAATTATTATATGTCTTGATGTTGTCTTCCTTGGGTCCCTTGTGTTGGAGATCTGTGCACCTCCATGGCTTGAGAGACTATCTCCTTCTCCAGATTGGGGAAGTTTTCAGCAATTACCTCCTCAATGATACTGTCTATCCCTTTTTCTCTCTCTTCTTCTTCTGGTACCAAGGGTCAAATGAAACTGAACTCACCAATCTACCTGAAAGAGAGTTCAAAATAAAAATCATAAACATTACTATACAAAATAGAATCATCCAGCATACCTTATGGAGGTACAGAAAAATATTCAAGAACTCAGGAACGAATTTAAGTCAGAGATTCAATCATTAAGAAATTCTATATCCAAAACGAGACATACAATGGAGGGATTTAAAAGCAGATTAGATGTAGTATGAGAGATGATAAAAACTAGCATTTTAAAAAAGAAAAGCACAGACCACAAATATAGAAGCCATGGAATTTCAAAAGAACCTATTATGTATAACTTCTGTGTATTAGCATGTAATGTAGACTGCCCTTTGAAGATAACACACATTTTCAGTAGCCTTGAGAAGGTTCACTGAACCCATCTATGATTCTTCTTGTATAATATGGACAATATTATCCATAAACATGTCAAACATATGTATAGTCAGTAGAATCTTTTTATATACATACTTCCCAAATATATATATATATATTTATATATATATATAGGGCAGTATATGTTAAGGGCTAGAAATTAAGTTTTTTATGCTGAACACTTGATGGTTACTATATAAGATATATTGGATTCTACTAAAATCTAATGACTCCATTTCTGGACCTTAAGGAGCAATCAAATAGGGAATATAATAAACGTAAATAAGTAGCACACTGCAATAGATAAATGTCAATTTAAAAAGTAAGTAATGCTGTAACAACAGAATATGTGAGAAAGTGAATACTTTTTGCTGTAGAATCATTAGGAGGGTATCAAGAAGAGTCAACATGTCAGTTTTGTCCTGAAGATAAAGAGTATTTTAAAAGTTATCTGTATAGAGAATAGACTCTTAGAGTAAGCTATGTGTTGGTGATTCATTGCTGGCCAGACTCCTATCTTATTTTTAATTGAAATGTAGTTGATACACAATATTATATTGGTTTCAAGTATACAATATAGCGATTCAACAGTTAAACACACCATTAGATCCTCACCCCAACCAGTGAAGGCACTGTCCATCAACACAGAAAGGTGTTACAGACCACTGTCTATATTCTCCATGCTGCACCACCACCCCTGTAAAAAACCCATATTATGACTGAGATTTTTGTGCCCCTTTATCCTCCTTGCCCTCACCACAAGCCCACTCTAACCCCTATTGCATGGTAATCACCAGTCACTTCTCAGTGTCTATGGTAAGTCTAGTGCTGTTTCACACACCCATCTTTAATAATAACCATCATAATAAGTAATTGTTCATATTTATTAGTGTTACACTGAACTAGCCATGATTCTAAGAGTTTATAATTTTAATTTCATCCTGAGAAAAACAGGGAAGGATCAGGTCATTTGCTGCAGAGTCCATCCTTTTAATCACAGTGATCTGCATTTATTTAGTTTGAGATGACTTACTGTTAATTGAAATATAGCTGTTGGGATATAGCTCCTGTAATGATCATCTATAATGATGTTATATATAAACATTTAAGTGAAAGAAGTAATGTGAAAAGAAAAGAGACAAGCACCTGTTTAAGAAATTACATTTATAGGTAAGAGGTTAACAAAAAAAAGGCAGCTCCATAAATGGACATTGTGTGTTCTATGGTCGTGTGTAGATCTAAGAAATGAATCTAACAAAAGTAAAACAATTTAAGAACTATTTGTTTCCTACATTTCTTCATTTATTTTTAAATACAGTTACTGTTTACCATTTGAATAAAGCATAACCTGTTTTCACTTTCACATACCTTATCTTGCGTTATTCACAGAACAACTTTGTCATAAAGCAAAATGTATTTTTTAGGAAGAGATTAAGTGACCTACTTCGGATCACTTGCCTAGGTCAAATTGATTGATTTGAGTTGAGATCTTCAGATTCCAAAATCAATACTATTTCCATTGTTTATCCTGACTCTTCCATACATTTCACCATTCAGCTGATCAACATCTCAAAAATCAATGTTCTTACTAATTTCTCAATCCAATAGTTATTTCTCCCATTATCTGTTGACTTGACAATATTCTTTATCATTGATTATATCCTTATAAAATATCTTCCTCAAACTTTTCTTCCTGTGAAGTATGTTCTAATTTTAGAAGACAGAGTAAGAATCTGTCACTTTTTTCTCATCCAGAGATAGTCACATATGTTTAAGTATATTTTCTTCCTTTGTGTGTATCTTTAATGTATTTGAGATCATATTACATCTATAATTTCTTTTTCTCTTTGTCTTGTTAAAATTCTCACTTTCTTGAAGCAAAGGGAAGGATTTGTTTTTATCTCAAAAACTTGGAAATTTCAGGGCAGCAAATTATAGAGGCAGGCCAAAATGGTTATATCATTCCTTTATCACTATATATGCTCACACATATATTACACTACATTTATAATTATATATTCAGTGTATATATATGTATATATTACATTATATGTAATGTGTATGTATGTGTATGTGTACACATATATATGCATATATGTGTTTTAGATGTGTGTGTGCATGTTTGTATATGTGTGTGTGTATATATGCACATGTGAGACTGTCTAGTGTATTGTCTAATGTTTTCCTGTGACTAGATGAGGTTAGATTAGATTACATCCGGATCACATTTTGACAGTAATGATTCTGTATCCTTAGGGCATCCTCTCAGAAAACTTATGATATCTATTTATACAAAATTAATTGAGGAAGTTAATTTTGATCACTTGTTTAAGGTGGTAGCTACTAGGTTCTGCATTAAGTTACTGTCTTTTCCTTTGAAGTTAGCTGGCAGTTTTCTTTTTGAATGTTCATACGTTTCAGGCTAGATATATGTCTTTTTTTCATTGTGTGGGTATATTATAATTTATTTAATCTTCTTTAATGGACATTTAGATTTCCAGTTTTTCAGAATTGTGAACAAGAATGCAGTGAACATCCATATTCATATTCGTATATCTTCGTGGACTTATCTGATTATTTCACTGAGATAAAGAATTAGAATTGATTGGTCAAAATGCATTTAAAATTTGATAATATTGCCAAACTGCCTTCCAAAAGTTGCATCAGCTTATGTTCCCACTAATACTTGGGTAAATTTATATTCCCACCTATAGTAAATGAGACTGACTCTTTCCCCACAAATTCACCAACAGTGAGTATCATAATCATTTAAAATTTTGCCAATGTTATGGGCAAAAACTGATGTCCGATTTTTTTTTTAACATATATCTTTTACATAAATCTTTGGGTGTGATATATTTCACAATTAAACAAAGTTGACTTTAAAAAGAGTCTAAGATTTTAACCCTAAAAGAAATGTGCTTGCTCTTTTGGTATATCTTGCATATAATATGTATAAATAAAGCAGCAGTTAGTAGAAAGTGCTTGTATATGTGTTACAGAATTAGCTTGTCTGTTTTTTTCTATCAGGGTTAGTTCATTTTAAGTTTATTCTGCAGAATAACGACAGCATGATGTATCACAGACAGTCATATTTTATAAATTCAATGTTTATTTTTGCCAAATACCTTCCTAATAAATTTATACATAAAAGGCTTCTTTTATGTGTATCTGTGTATCTGTGTATATACATACATACCTATATGTATGTGCATTCATTAAAACATAAAAACATACATATAATGCTATCTTAGAAGTTATAAATTAATGTTTGGAATCTTTGTTCAATAAGGTTTTCAAAATTATAAAGAAATATTTTTTTTAATTAGGAGTCTCTAAGTTGTGATCTTTTGAATTTTATCTCATTCTATTCCATTTCAAATGTCATTTAAAATGTATGATTACTCCTTTCTTAAAATAATGAAGCCATTACTTTAATTAAAAAAATGTTTGGTGAAAATCCACTTAATGAAGTCTTTTAATATATTCATATTCTAAGCATTTCATGTTTTAAACTATGAGCCTTTAATTTTATATTTATATTTAGAAACTTTTAGTCCATATATATAGAATATTCCCTTTCTGTATTCATTGTATACAAAATCTGTCCAAATAATGAACATTTGTTTTCTTAAAATCTAAAAATGTTTATCTGACAAAATGTAATTGTGATATTTCCAAATAAATACTTCCATTTAGTCCAGCCATATAGATTGTTTTGTAGACATCAATATTTGATGAAATAGTTAATTTCAATAATGCACCAAAGATTTTTTTTTCAATATAATGAACTTCATGGATTTTAGTTTTCATTTTGAATACATTGGAAAATATTGTCAATAACCACTTACTAATTATCATTTTTCAATAAATTACAGCTAACATTTACCATTTTGGAGTTTAAAGTATGTCATCATGGCAAAGTTTCGAAGAAGGACTTGCATCATTTTGTCACTTTTTATTCTATTTGTTTTCTCTCTGATGATGGGTTTAAAAATGCTGAGACCAAATAAATCTGCTTTCGGAGATCCTTTTGGACTTGACCTTCTTCCAGAACTTCGTCAACGCACTCCTCACTTGGGAAAAATTTTTCATTCCCAAAAGAGCGACAAAATCAACAGTGAAATAAACATCAAGAATTTAAAAAGTGTTGAAATGACTATGAAACCTTCCAAAGCCTCTGAACCTTACCTGGAAGAACTGCCACCTCTGAATTATTATTTACATGTATTTTATTACAGTTGGTATGGAAATCCACAATTTGATGGTAAATACATACATTGGAACCATCCAGTGCTGAAGCACTGGGACCCTCGGATAAGCAAGAATTATCCACAAGGGAAACACAACCCCCCAGATGACATTGGCTCCAGTTTTTACCCCGAGTTGGGAAGTTACAGCTCTCGGGATCCTTCTGTCATTGAAACGCACATGAAACAAATGTACTCAGCATCAATTGGTAATTATTTTATGTGTGTGTGTTTAGGTATGTGATTGTATATATATGTATATGTGTGTGTGTATATATATTATATGTATACATATAATTGTTGGTAGAACATTAAAGTACTAATTAGTTTTCATATTAATTACAATTTAAGTTTCTAAATTATATATGTATATTTTGTAATTAAACATCCAAGCAACTGCTTTTTAACACTAAAGTATGCTTTTGATTTCTAATTTAATATTCTTTCTGAAATTTTTAAAATTATGATTTACACAAGATACAATTAATTTTCCCAAAGTATATACCTTAATAATATTTCTCTAAAGTATGCATCTGTTTAAATACCACCTCCATCATGAAGTAAAATATTCTGTAGCCCAAAAAGTTTCATCATGCTTCCCTTCTTCAGCCCCACCACTCCAGGAAACTATGGAGCTGATTCCTGTCACTGTGGAGTAGTGGCGAATGTTCTATTACTATACAAAAATAGAATCACCCAGCATTTGCATGTGTGTGAGAGGGTCTTTGGTCAGCATGCTGTTTTGAAATTTACTCATGTTGTTAACTGTATCAGTAGTTTAGTCATTATTATTGCTGAGGAATATTCCATTTTATGATTATAGAAATTTGATTCTGTATTCATCTTGATGGACATTGGGGCTGTTTCAAATTTTAGGCACTGGCATATAATTTGGTCTTGTTTTTCTGTTTTTTAAAACTAGTCTGACAATCTCCCCCTTTTTAATTGTATTTATGTCATTTATATTTAATGTAATAATGGTATGGTTGATTTTAAGTGTTTCATTTTTCTGTTTGTTTTCTGCTTAACCCATCTATTCTGTTCCTTTTCCCCTCTTTTTCTGCCTTCTTTTGTATTGAATGTGTTTATTTCATTTAATTTTCTCTTCTGGCTTATTACTGTGTTCCTTCATTTTATGATTGTTCTAAAGTTACAATATGTACCTTTAATTTAATTGATGAGAAATCACCATTTATTCTTACTATGTTTCCCCCTTCCCTTCAAGTACCTTTAATTGATGAGAAATCACCATTTATTCTTAATATGTTTCCCCCTTCCCTTCAATTTTCTCTTTTCTCTATAATTTCTGACACTCCAATTATGCATACTTTAGATAGAGGCATATTGTCCCACAGATAAATAATATCAAAAATATATAACTGGGTACCTGAAAAGTCTTCAATTTATTATATACCCTTAAAAAAAAAACTCCCTTTGTTGGGTCCCTTTGCCTTGTTAGGTATCCCTAGTACTAAGGCCACAAGAAATAATTGAGGGTTCTCACATTTTTTTAGCTCTACAAAAGCCACAAACTCACTGTTAAGCTGATAATATAAAGAGAGTCATATAAGGCTTTTTCATGAACAAAACAATACAGAATAATGTGACTCTACATCAGCTGTGTACAAGATGACTTGCTTTTCTTCTGTGGAATAGTTTTTTTCAATTATTTATTTAAAAATCTAGTGTTTTCTTCATATGTTATGTGACATAAAATAGAATTGGTAAATTCAGACAGCATTAACTAGTATGTATACGTAACTGTCTCTATTTCAAACTTTGTAAATAGCCCTTTCAAATGACTTTTACTGTTTTTTACAAAGAATTTGTGTCACATTCAAGTCTTTTTTCTTATGGTTGACTTGTTTGTGACTATAAAGCTATGCTTGATTGACAAAGTGAATATTCATGGAAGTGTAATATTCGTAATGCAAATTGAACTGTATACAATGGGGATTTTTTTCTCCTCAGATACATAATTGTTTATAAGTAAATAAACACTATTAAAATATATATTACTATTATATGAGCAATATATAAATGACATGCTGCATATAATTTAATTATTAGGAACTAAAGTGTCAGTTGATATTTAGTTTTATGCCTCATGTTTATGAATACCTTCCCCCATGTATTACTTAAATACCACATAATGTATATGAACATGAATTATTTCAAAACATTGTCAATGATAAAACTTTTATTTTTAAATGTTGACAGTTTCCCTTTTAAGGCAATTATTTTATTTCTTTGGTAGATTTTCTGCTAGGGAAAATAGAAAAATAACTTGATAATAATAAAAGTGACACTACAATCCATCTGTAAATAATTTCCTTACCATTTACATATTGAATTATACATACTTTCTTCTTGATATATAATTCACATTTAACATTGTTCAAGATATATAGCATATTGACTTGATACATTTTTATTTCAGTATGATTGCCATTGTAGCATTAAGAGCTAACAACTCTTTAGTACATCATATAATTACAATTTCTTCTAGTGGTGGGAACAATTAAGATCTAATCTTTTAGCATGACTGATATTTATAATACAGTTTTGTTGTCTGTAATCACTTTACTGTGCATTAGTCCTCAAGGTCTTACATATTTAGTTCCAAGCATGTACATTAAACAACATCTCTCCCATTTCCCCACTGCCAAACCCCTAGTAACCACCATTCAACTCTCTTTTGTTTCAACATTGTTTTGTTAAGATTCCACATTGTAAAATATCTTACAATATTTCTCTTTGTCTGCCTTATCTTAGTATAATGTGCCCAAGATCCATTCATGTTGTTGCAAATGGCAGGATTTCATTTTTTCTCTCACAGCTGAAAAGCATGCCATTGTATATGTGTATATTTGTGTGTGTGTGTGTGTGTGTGTGTGTGTATCTATATATGACATTTTTGGAGAGATTGATAATTTGAAAAAAATATTTTCTCTAGTTTAATGGAAGAATACAATATGTAACAATTAAACATACAAAATATGTATTTTTTATATTATTGGTAAAGCTTCTGGCCAACAGCAGGCTATTAGTAGTTAAGTTTTGGGGAAGTCAAAAGTTGTATATGGATTTTCAACTGCATGGGGGTTTGGTGCCCCAACCTCTGCATTGTTTAAAGGTCACTATGTGTATGTTAAAACTTTGATATTTATTCCAGAGTTATTGGATGTTCTGTTTTGGTTTTTTTAAACCAATCATTCTTCTCATATTTCAGTATAGGTAATTTGTGACTTGCCTGAAGTTACTCTTTCCTAGCTCTTCTGAGTTTGTTCATGAATCTCTTGAATGTGTTCTTTATCTATTTTAATGTTTTTTTTTTATTTCCAGCAGTTTTGTTTGATTCTTTTAGTTTTCATTTCTGATCTTACATCTTCACCTCCCCTGATCTTACATCTGATTTTATATTTCCACATGTTTCTGTTCTATTACCATCATATGCTTTCCCTGTTTAGAGTCTGTTTATTTAGAACTTAGTACCATCTTTCTAATAGCCTTTCATTTCTTTACATATGTTGTGAGGCTTTGAATTGGTTAATTTCAAATATTCCCTCTCCCGTTGATTTCTTTGTATGGTTATGTTTCTAGAACTCATTTTTTTTAAATAATTAATCAGTTCAAAAGTAAAGTACTACAGGGAGAAACTATAACTTTCTTTTATTTTTTAATCTTTTATTAGAATATATGATCATCACAAAAACCTGCATATGAATGTTTATGGCAACTTTATTCTTAATTGCCAAAAATTGGAAGCAACCTATATGTCTTTCAGTAGGTGAATGGATAGACAAACTGGAATACATCTGTACAATGGGATATTATACAGCAATAAAAAGAAAGAACTATCAAGCCATAAAAAGATATCAGTGAAGCTTAACTGCATATTGCTAAGTATAAGAAGACAGTCTGAAAAAGTTACTTCATATTTCCATGTATGTAGTAATCTATAAAAGGCAGAACAATAGAGATAGTAAAAAGATCAATTATTGGTCCCAGGATATTGGTGGGGAGAGGGTTGAGGTGTGAATAGGTGACCAAAAAAGGTCTGTAGGGCAGTGGAACTATTCTGTATGATATTGTAGTGGTGGGCAGGTGATACACATTTGTCAAAAGTTGTAATACTATACAACATAAAGAGTGAACCCTAATGTTAAACTATGCACTTTAGTTAATATATACATGTTGGTTCAGCATTGTAACAAATCTACCAAGCTATTGCAAGATGTCAATAAATAATAGAAAACTGTATGTGGGATGGAGAGGAACTGGGTGGCAGATAAATGTATAGAAACTGTACTTTCTTTGCAATTTTTCTGTAAACCTAAAACTTACATTAGAAAGATGTATCAATTAATTATAAAATACTGATATCGGAAAAAGAGTTCATAAATATTGACTACACAAAGTAATCAAATAGTCATAGATAGTATCTAAGTGACATAACAAAACAGCATTCAGAATATGTTTCTTTCATATTGTTAACAATTTGGTCCTTATGATGCTTTTTCTTTCTCCTTTTCCTTCCCTTCCCTTCCCTTCTCTTCCCTTTTTGTAGTATATTTGCAGTCATTCTTGTTCTTGTGTTTATTTTTTTCTCTTTTGGTCTTTTCTGTTAGGTGTACTAGTCCTGTCTTGGTACCCACCCAATACAAGTGATGAGAATGGAGAAAATACAGATGACTTGGTACCAACTATTTTGGACAAAGCTCACAAATATAATCTGAAGGTATCTAATTTTACGTATTTTATTTTTATTGAGATATAATTGATATACAGCATTATATTGGTTTCAGGTGTTTGACATAATGATTCACTATATGTTTATATTGTGAAATGAACATCACAGTAAGTCCAGTTAACATTCATACCACACACAGTCACAAATTTTTTTTTGGAGATGAGAATTTTTAAGAGCTATTCATTCAGCAACCTTCAAATATACAACACAGTATTTTTATCCATAGTCACCATACTGTACAATACATCTCCAGGATTTACTTACTTTATGAGTAGAAATTTGTACCTTTTAACCATCTACATCCACTTCATCTGGCCCCTTGCCTCAGGCAACCACAATCTGTTCGCTACATATATAAAGGCTCTTTTTGTTTGTTTGTTTTTAAGATTCCACATATAAATGAGGCCACACTGTATTTGTCTTTCTCTGACAGACCTATGTCATTTAATATAATGCACTCATGGTCCATTTATGTTATATTAGCAAGTGGCAAGATCCTTTCTTTGTGGCTGAATAGTATTCTATTGTGTTTGTATATTTGTGTGTGTGTATATGTGTATATATAGATATCTTTCATCATTCATTTCTTTATCATTCAGTCACCACTGGGCACTTGGGGTTGTTTCCAGTTCTTGGCTATTATAAATAATGATGTAATGAGATCAAATGACTTTTTAAGTTATTTTCATTATCTTTTGATGAATAACAGAGGGGGAATTATTTTATCAGATTGTAGTTCTATTTTTAGTTTTTTAAAGAACCTCCATATGATTTTCCATAGTGGCTGTATCAATTTATATTCAAATTAACAGTGCACAACGGTTCCATCTTCTTCATACCCTTGCCAACACTTGTTATTTCTTGTCTTTTTGATAATAGACATTAATAGACATTGTAAGAAGTGTGAAGTGATATCTCATTGTGGTCTTGATGTGCATTCCCCTGATGATTAGTGATGCTAAGAATCCTTTTATGTACCTGTTAGACATCTGGATGCTTGCCTAGGAAAAGTGTGTATGCAGACCCTCTGCCTTTTTTTAACTAGATTGTTGTTATGCTGATGTGTATGTGTTCTTTATATATTTTGGATGCCAACCCCTGATCAGATAAATGATTTGCAGAAGCTTTTTCCCATTCAGTAGTTTGCTTTTTATTTTGTTGATGGTATCCATGACTGAGCAGAAGTGTTTTACTTTGATGTAGTCCCATTTGTTTATTATTGCCTTTTGGTGTTAAATCCAGAAATATCATTGCCAAGACCTCTGTCAAGGAGCTTCTCATCTATGTTTTCTTCTAGGAGTTTTATGGTTTCCAGTTTTATGTTTAAGACTTTAATACATTATGAGTTAATTTTTGTATATCATTTATATAGTGGTTCATTCATTCTTTTGTGTGTGGCTGTTCAGTTTTCCCAGCACCACTTATTTAAGATAATTGTCATTTCCCCTATGTATATTTTTAACTTCTTTGTTGTGTTAATTGACAATATATGCATGGTTTATTCCTGGGTGCTCTTTTCTGTTCCATTGTTCTATGTGTCTTTTTTTATTCCAGTACCATACTTTTTTGATTACTATAGCTTTGTAATAGTTTGACATGAGGGAGCATGAAGCCGGATCAGCTTTGCTCTTCTATCCCAATATTACTTTGGCTAACTGGGGTCTTTTGTGGTTCCAAACAAATTGTAGGGTTTTTTTCTTCTATGTTGGTGAAAAATGCCCTTGGAATCTTCATAGGGATTCCATTGAATCTGTATATTGCTTTGAGTAGTATGAATGTTTTAACAATATTAATTCATCCAATCCATGCATGTGATATTCTTTCTTTTATTTGTGTCTTCTTCAATCTCTTTAATTAATATCTTATAGTTTTCAGCTTACAGATCTTTCACTTCCTTGGTTAAATTGATTTCTGGGTGTGTGTATATACATATATATTTTTTAATGTAATTGTAAGTGATACTGTTTTCTTAAATTTTCTTTCTAATAGTTCATTATTAGTGAATAGAAATACAACTGATTTTTGTATATTGATTTTTTATCCTGCAACTTTACTGAATTCATTTGTTCTAACAGTTTTTCTTATGAAGTCTTTAGTTTCCTATATGTCATACATTTGTCATCTGCAAATAGAAACAGTTTTACTTCTTCCCTTCTTATTTGGATGCCTTTCGGTTCTTTTTCTTGTGTTATTGCTCTGGCTAGGAGTTCCAGTACTATGTTGAATAAAAGCATTGGAGGGGGTATCCTTGTCTTGTTCCTGATCTTGGAGGAAAAACATTTGGCTTTTCTCCATTGAGTATGATGCTGGGGACTTGTCATATATGACTTTTATTATCTTTAGGTATATTCCTTCTGTATCCACTTATTGAAAGTTCTTCTCATAGATGGGTTGTTGAATTTTGTCAAATGTTTTTTCTTCATCTATTGAGATTATTATGATTTTTATCCTTCATTTTGTTAATGTTGTCTATCACATTGATTGATATGCAGATGTTAAACTACCCTTGCATCCTTGGAATAAATCCCACTTGGTCATGTTGTATGATCCTTTAATGTATTGTTGAATTTGGTTTTCTAATGTTTTGTTGAGGATTTTTGCATCTGTGTCCTTCCTGATTATGGATTGCTGAGCCAGGCATGGGGTTTATGGCCAGATTATATTACAGCTTCTTATCCAATAAAATAATGGTATTTTTCTCATTCACCCAGTGTGTAGGAGTAATTCAGCTAGTTTTTGGATTTCTTTCAGAGTATATTGTTCTATATGTAGTTGTAGATTTGGTGTATCCGTGGGAAGAGTTCAGTTAAGGATCCTTCTACACCACCATCCTGAACTGGAACCTCTGAAGGTATTTTATTTTATTATCAAGCTACTCACAAGTTAATTCTTTTGGACATGAAGATAGTAATTACAACTTTTGAGGTAATTGTTCTAAAAATGATTTGAAAATGATGACTTAGATTCTTTTTAATAATAGTATATTTCATAAAAATATTTGAGTTTCAAAACTTGTCTAGATTAAAACAAAAATCCCTTAGTATTTTTCTATACATGTTTTATATTCATCTACTTACTATTTATTTTAGTAGAAAAGAGGATTAAAATGTTCTTTTATGAAGATAATACAGTAATTATTGAGATTTACATTTCTAAATATCTTAAATGTCAAAGATGCACTAAAAATAAGTGTCATTAACCTTGTGAATTTAAGTATTAAGTAATTAGAAATTACTGATTATAACTGCTGCTCAAAAATTGTCAAAATCTGTTTTTCACTTAAGCCTTACTTAACACACACACCCATATGTACACACACACACCTCTGTGTACATATAAAGTTCAGATGAAAGTCCAAAGAAAGCTCTAAGACTGGATATATTTCACCCAGATATTGTCATGTTATAAATGAGAGGAAGTTTCTCACAATATAAGATTTTATTTCTTACAGAGATTAATGAATCATGAAAACGAATAGAAATGATGACTAAAAGTGTTTAACTAGCATTATAGAGGAATTTTTATAACTGACTAGCAAGAGAATAAGCATTATTTTTCAAATCCAAGAATACTTGTAAAAAACTGTTCATGTAGTAGGTAGCAACAATAATCTTAATAAATTCACAAAAGTTATAATGGTAGAGTCTGTACCCTAAAAGACATCACAATAACTGAATATTTATAATTAATGCTAAATGAGACTTTAAAAAGCATGCAATTTCATAAAATGTTAATTTTAACATTGTAATTAAAAATAACATTTCTTTTTATGAAAAAAATCAAAAATGAAATTTAAAAATGATATAAATATCACTGAAATTACTGTCTTAGCAATACCAGTGGTACAAAGATAATAAAATAAAAGTAAAAGGAATTAATAAAGATAAAGTAAACAATTAAATAAAATACAAAACCTTCAAAAATCAGTAGCCTGGATAAACTAATCATTTTCCACTTTTAGGAAGGAAAAACATAGACAAACCGCAGACAAGATGAAAAAAGAGAAAAAATAGGGAAAACATATTATCAAACATCAAAAGGGAATATACCTATAGGTACAAAAGAGGTACAAAAAAAATTTAAGATTCTATATAGCCATTCTTAAAAATTGCTGAGAATTTTCATTTGCTCTGAAACTTCTTGCAGTTTATATATCCTAATGGAAAACCAGCTCGTTTCTCCAGTACAGGTAATTGAGTGAGCTCTGTAAGAGATGATGTGTATCACTGTTAAAATATTTATTGCCAAATAATGCAAAAAAACAGTTTTGTTTTAATGTTTCTTTTGCAGCTTAAAAATTTAGTAGTTATTTGGGAATAGAAATAGAACTGTGTAAACAGAAATAGTTAAATGGACAAGCATTTTTTGTTTGTTTTACTGTCCAAAAAGCCTTCCCTTCCTCCTTTGCAATCTTAAAGCTGTTAAGGCAGCATCTCTTAAATTAGCTGACTGGCAAGAGCTGTCACCTGCCATGTCTGCTAGTACCATTCAGCGAGCTGTCATTGGCATTTGAAATCTGCAGGTAGGCAGATCTGCAGGTTCTGGGACTGGGTCTGAGACTAGATAAGTGATACAAAACATGTTCCACAAAACATGTTCATGGGCCACTCTTCTCTTCAGGCCCCACCACAATCCTGGGAGATGAGAAGGACAATGCCTGCATAACTCAAGAAAGCTGGCTATTTTAGTACTTCCAGGAGGTTTTCAAAGGTCAAGTGAAAATATTCTGATGGATAAAGATAGGTTAGTTTTTCTAATATTTAAAACTTCTGTGTAGAAGGAGTGTATGGAGAAGAGATCTAGTTACCAGCATACCTGTTCTCTCTGTGATTCAAATTTTTTATCTGGTGATCAGAAAAGTTTGGAAGCTGACTAGTATTTTCCAAAACTTTGAGAACAATTTTTTGGCCTTCTGTCTGGGGAGGAACTCTGTACTGTGGGACCGAGACACTGGAGTCTTGCTCCAGCTAAGTAGTTCTGTAATCTTT